AGGGACTACCCTGGTAGTCCAGTGACTAAGACTTTGCACTCCCAATGCAGGTGGTCCAGGTTCAGGTAACTAGACCCCACGTGTTGCCAAATATATATATATATATGTGTGTGTGTGTGTGTGTGTGTGTGTGTATTTAAGGCAGTACATTTATAAATGGAGCAATTTTCAAAGAAAAACTGTTGAACACTATTAGAGGACTTTGAACACCTAAAAAGACAAGAAAAATTCCTCACACAACTGGGTTGGACAAAAGAAGGGAAGAAAAAGAAGAGGAAACAGGAAGGGACAGGACCCCAGGGAATAGTTGGAAAAGAGGAGAGGTTCCTTCACTCAGAGAAGCCCACTCATAGCTAGGGGTACTAGCTGGGGAAGGAAGGAATCTTCAGGGGACCTGAGTGGAATATAGCAACAGGTCTGTGGAGGGTAGGAGGAGTAGGACCTAGGTGCAAGTTCCATACCCCAGACAGTGCACCTCCACTTGGGATGCAGGTCTTTGGTGCAAAGGGAGACTAGGTGCTAGAAAGAAGAGTTTGGAGAATAAACCCAAGAAGGAACTGCAGTTGGCTGTGAGAATTGCCTGAGTAACCTCATTCATTCTGTCAAAATTCTTTCAGGAATCATCTTCTTTCTGTCAGAACTTCCTGAGAAATATCTTTCTTTTGGTCATGTTTCCCTCAGATACCTCCTTCTTAACATTATATACATCCTGAAATCTTTCTATCAGAAATCCTTCAGAAACCTTCTTTCTGTTAGAAAGAACCTTCTTTCTGGTTCACTAGTCTACTTCATATGTGAAAATTTCCTTAGACATCTCCTTCTTTCTATCAGGTGTCCACAGAAATCTTTATCTTTCGGTCAGGTTTTATCTCAGCACTTCCTACTTTCTGTCAAATTTTACATCAGAGCCTCCTCCCTTCAGAATATTCTCTGAAATTTCCTTTGTCAGTATTCCCTCAGTAATCTCTTTCTGTCAAGTTTCCCTTAAAAAATTGTCTTCTTTTTGTCAGGCCTTCCTCAGATGTCTCCTTCTTTCTTCTGACATCCCTCAGTGATCTCCCTCATTTTTTCAAATTTCTTTCAGAAATTTTCTTATTTGTTTTATGTTTCCCTTGAAATGAAAATGTTAGTCACTCAGTCGTGTCCAACTCTGAGACCTCATTGACTGTAGCCTGCCAGGCTCCTCTGTCCATGGAATTCTTCAGGCAAGAATACTGGAGTGGGTGGCCATTCCTTTCTCCAGGGGATCTTCTAGATCCAGGGATTGAAACGGTCACCCACATTGCGGGCAGTTTCTTTATCATATGAGCCACCAAGGAAGCCCATGTTTCCCTTAGTAAGTATCTTTATTTCTGACAGAATTTTCTCATAATTGCCCTCTTTCTCTTAGGTTTTCTTCTCATATGGCCTTTCTTTCAGAATTCTTTTAGAAATCATCTTCTTTTGTCAGAATTACCTTCAAAAATTACCTTTTTTCTGTCTGGTTTTCCTCTGATATAGCCTTCTTCTTTCAGGTTTCTCTTAGAAATCTCCTTTTTTCTCTCATGGTTTCCTCAGAGATATCTTTTCTGTCAGGTTTCCCTCAGGTATCATCTTTTTTTTCTGTCAAGTTTTCCTCAGAAATCTTCTTTCTGTCAGGTTTTCTTAGAAATATCTTTGTTTCTTTCTTGTTAAAATAGTGCAGAAAAAAGGTGAATTATACAAGAAGGCAAACAGAGAGAAAATGGAAAAAAGGTACCAGAAGACATGGGTTCCAGGCTCAACATATCTATATTTAGTTTATTGAATGATCTTAGGCCAGTCGCTTGACTTTTCTGAATTTTAATTTTGTTATCAGCATTTCTAATACATGTTTCATAAATATAATTTTGTAATGTAAGTATAATAATACAGATAAAAGAGCTTTGTAAATTGTAGATCACTGACTAAATGTTTCTGGTTGTTGGTCACTGTCACCTTTGAAATCAGTAAGAACTGTCCCAAGAAAAGAAAGCTGTGTGTAAAGATAAATGTAAATTATTTGTACTTAGAAGACTGAGAAACAACCAACCATAAGATCTAAAGGAGCAAGCTAGATTTGTTTTACCCATACAGAATACCTTGTATTCACATAATTCTTAAAAAGGAGTTATATGAAAATCTTTTAAGATTTATTGTTTAAAAAGAAGGTGCAAAATAATATATATGTTAATATTTGTATAAAAATATAAACACCCATATGTGAACATATGTGTATAAACTATGTGTGTGTGCTAATCTTTCATTGTGTCTGACTCTTTGCACCCCGTGGACTATAGCCCACCAGGCTCCTTTTCCATGGGATTTTCCAGGCAAGACTACTGGAGCGGGTAGCCATTCCTTTCTTCAGGGGACCTTCCTAATCTAGGGATTGAACCCAGGTCTCCTGCACTGCAGGCAGATTCTTTATTGTCTGAGCCATCAGGGAACCCCATGTGTGAACCACATATATATATGTATATACATAACATCTGAGTATATATATCTTCCTCTGACATTTACTGAGCCTCAGGCCAGAGAACAAACTGAGGTTCACATATCCTATTTTTAAATATACACATTTATAATTCAAGCTAACAATTTTCTATGCTCTATCCTCCTAGCTGGACAAAAATAACTTCAGAACCACATAATTGAAAAATATGTAAAAAGATCATAGGAGTGATGAGCATGTGATTTCTATTAATTTCTTTGATTAAACTCAAGATATACTCAAGAAACTCAATATATACTTCTCACAGAGAACAAAAATAGACCTTAAATATGATTGTGTCTGACTCTTTACACCCCGTGGACTATAGCCCACCAGGCTCCTTTTCCATGGGATTTTCCAGACAAGACTACTGGAGCGGGTAGCCATTCCTTTCTTCAGGGGACCTTCCTAATCCAGGGATATAACCCAGGTCTCCTGCACTGCAGGCAGATTCTTTATTGTCTGAGCCATCAGGGAACCCCATGTGTGAACCCCATATATATATGTATATATATGGCATCTGAGAATATATATCTTCCTCTGACATTTACTGAGCCTCAGGCCAGAGAACAAACTGAGATTCACATATCCTATTTTTAAATATACACATTTATAATTCAAGCTAACAATTTTCTATGCTCTATCCTCCTATCTGGACAAAAATAACTTCAGAACCACATAATTGAAAAATATGTAAAAAGATCATAGGAGTGATGAGTGTGTGATTTCTATTAATTTCTTTGATTAAACTCAAGATATACTCAAGAAACTCAATATATACTTCTCACAGAGAACAAAAATAGACCTTAAATATGCTATTTAAATGTTACAAGTGACCACTGAATACACACAGATAAAAAAGTATATATGTGTATGTGTTTGTATAGATATGAATCAGGTAAGAAGAAGTAGGGCTGCTATTTTCCTCAGGATTTTTGTTGATAATCCTCAGTTATCAATAAGAAATTTAAAAGATAGTATCTATAAAAAATAATATAAGCTTATTTTTGATAGTTGCTTTTGGAACCACCAGAAAAACCACAAACAGTAATATAACTTCATCCTTTTATTTCTTATTAAGAAAATTTATTTTAAAACCCTTTATTACATTAACAAATATTTTGAAAATTCTTTTTTTAAGGCAAAACAAACGACCAGTCTTTTAGATAACCTATAAGTAAATAACAGTCTTTCTGTTGGTGCGTTTTTTATTGTGAAAGGTTGAAAGTTGCCATTCCAACATAAGCCAACCCAGATACTATGGCATGGGATTATTCACTAACCAATAATAAAATACAGAGCAGAAACCCTCAAGGTCAACCAGAAGACTCCCAAATAGGCTAAGTATATTTAAATTCTGTAGCAGATAGAGGTTAAAGAAAACTATGTGTGTGAATTATTGAAGAAAAATAATGTAGCTTAAAGAAGTTTGGATATAGGTGTAAAATCAATGCTCACTGAGAATCTGTAATGTAGAAAACAGCCTCACCATCTTAGTTTCTGGATATCCCATGACCATATTCCCCAGGTGGAAAAGTAGAATCACTAGTTTGATCTCACCCCAGAAGCTGAAGTGGGTCAAATAACCTGTATTTTTAAAGTGTGACCAGGTAATGACAGCATTCTGACAAGTTACCAGGCCCTTGTAATATGGATACATGTGAGTATTTTGTTGTCTCTGTCACTTCTAAGAAAAACAACAATGGTGATTGCAAGGCAAAATGTGGGGTGATTTAACACAAGTCCTCAACCTTCAGGATCTAATGCCCAGTGATGTGAAGTGGAGCTGATGTAATAACTATAGAAATAAAAGTACACAATACATGGAATGTACTTGAATCATCTTGAAACCAATCCCCACACTCCGCCCCCGTTCATGGAAAAATTGTCTTCCAGGAAACCTGTCCCTGTTGCCTAAAAGGTTGGGTATTTAAGAGACATGTAAGTTAGACTGTGAGGGAACACATACAGGGAGAAGAGTCCCTAAAGGTCGCCGCAGGCTCATACGCCCACTCTGCAGCCGGTGTACTTTTTAATGTCATTTTACTTAATATGTACTTTATATGTTTGACATAAATACTAGGCATGAACATTATGAGCATTGTCCCTATAGTGTTTCATCTGATCATTGTATCATTTCTACAAGATTAGTACAATTTTTCTCTCAATTTTACAAAACAGACAATTGAGCAAGAGCGTTTAGGTAACTTTCTCAAAGTCACACAAATAAGAAGTGTGTTTGAATCTATACAGACTTAAGGTGTGTGTATAATTATTATTAATGACTGGCGTATAAGTTTTCTATAAAAATGAGAAATGAGAGACCATTCCAAAAATAGCATGAAGTGCTATACAAGACAAATACTACTTTATATGTGTTCCACTCAAGATGTTTTTCTTGTTAGAGAAAAAAATTTTTCACTAATTTCATGATGTTCCTTGCTTGTGGATGAGTCAATTTTCTGATTTCTTTTCTTAACTAACAAGTTTGTCTACATTCATATCTGATTTAAATCAGTAGTGACAGTTTATTTGGATTGCAAGAGCCTATTTTGATCATCAGTTGTTTCAATTCTATCTTGTTAGTCAAGCTCAGTGTTTTTTTAATAAGTGATGTATACAAAGATCTTGGTTTTCTCCTACTGATCTGGATTAATTACCACCTTTGCCTTATTATTCTGGAGCTACACATTGGCAGGCATGACAGCTGGATACACATGATAGGTAAGTTGCATAGAGTGGATGAGAATAAAAGGAAGAGAAATAAAAATAAAATACAAGACAGCCTCAAAATGCTAACTTCCTTACTTAAGGAAGAAAACTGCTAAAGGAAGTGAGGTGGTATGGTAGGGGTGAAAGTACTGTTGCAAAGTAACAGAAAGTTTGGAAGAATGTGTAGAGTTTTATATCTCTATGATATATGCAAGAGAGGGCATATATAAGCTTGTGTGTAAATAAAGATACTCAGAGTTGAATTTTGTGGCATGTGTATTATATTCCAATACAAAAGATTTTTGAAATGTGCTTTTACAGAAATGAAAGAGGTTGTTTACTACAGTTTTCCCCATCCTGTAATCAAGATATTTTTCCCCTGATTCAAGTGGCACAGCCTGAGAATGGGTAGAAATAGCTAATGTCTCAATAAAGTAAATGAAGATGTTTTTAAATGACTAATCTTAAACTCTGGTTGACTTTAAGAATCATTAGGCATCTAGTATCTTCTGTTGTTTCCCCAACACCATCTTAATATTATGGAAAATAGAAGTAGAGAGGAGGGTAGGAGGGAGTCTCAAGAGGGAGGGGAATATATGTATATATTTGGATGATTCATGATATTGTACAGCAGAAACGAACATAACATTGTACTCCAATTATATTTCAATTAAAACAAAAGAACTAGAAGTAGAGAAAGTCTGAAGGTGGCTTAAGGATGCATAATGAGATCAAAAAGAGCTTTTAAAGAAGTATAAGGATTGACTGAACCTAACAAAACTATATTTTAGTGCCTGAAATTTGAACAAACAATTGACAACAACAAGGCACAAAAACAGAACAAAACAAAACCCCACCATGCACAACATTTCATGGTTTATGTTAGACAAAATGAGTGAATTGTGTGCCAAAGGACTGGAATAGGCAATCTATAAAACTTCCAAGATAAAGACAGTGAAAGGAAAAAAGTAAAAGTTTGATATGAATTGCAGATAGCAATTGAAACCACTGATATAAATTCCAATGCTGGCTACTCGATAACTCTCTTAATAAATAAATCTGATCATCTTAAAAGTTAGACTTCAGCAGTCACTTAAAAAAACTTGTCTAATGTGATATTCCCAACAGCAACATTCCTAGCAGTCTGTACTAGAAGATTTTCAGTGATGACAATACTTCTGCCTTTCAAGGCTATCTATCTCAATTTAGACAAATTTTAACTAGAAGTGTTTTTCTCTAGTGAATGGATATAATGTCACTAATGATTAATTTAAAAGTGGTTAAAGTGCTTACACATATGCATAGAGTAACCTTAAATCTCCAAAAGAGTTTCCAGCAGTCCCTCATGGAATGTTCTCTAAGCTATGAACTAGAAGAAAATAAATTCAAATGAGAATACAAAAGAAGTGGGACAGGAAAACAGCTCGGGAGCAAAAGGACAAAAAACATTGAGTGTACATAAGTGCTTTTTATAATTTTAAAGTGACCTTAGAGGACCTTAAATATTATCTCTCTGAACATTTGTTTCTGCATTTATAAAATGAAGATAATTAATCCTGTGTTATAGCTATTGTTATAAGGAATAAATAGGACAGAATCTATGAAGAACATTTAATTCATTGCCAGATAAATATTGAATTCATGGTAAAGGGTAACTACACACACATACACACACCTGTGTTTTGGAGTGTGCATGTGAATGGACAGATGGATGGATAGATGGGTGTATACATGACAGATAGAAAGGTACAAATAGATTACAGTAATAAATGCAAAAATTGAGAATCAGAAGCTTATATCTACCTTCACATCATTAGAGATTCCCTTTCACCACTGGTAACCAATAGTGTGTTCCCTATCTGTGAATCTGCTTCTTCTTTTTTCAAATTAATTAATTTATTTGTCTGCATCGCGTCTTAGTTGCAGCATGCAGAATCTTGTTATCTTTTGTACGATCTTTGTAGTACACAAATTGTCTAGTTGTGGAGTGTGAGCTTAGTTGCTCTGTGGCATGTGAGGTCTTAGCTCCCTGACCAGGAATCAAACCCACGTCTCCTGCATTGCAAGGCGATTCTTAACCACTGGGCCACCAGGGAAATCCTTGTGTCTTTTTTGGTGTCAAGATCCAGAAGACCCTGAGGTTGTTGCCTGCCCTCTATTGGGTAAAGCCAGGTCCTGGGGTTAGTGCAGAACTACCTGCAGGTGGAGCAGCCCTGGAGTCTGGTTGCAGGGTCCAGGGATCCCAGATCTGCTGTCAGGCTGCTGGGGAGCGGGTGCTGGTTCCTGTCATGGTTGGGTACATGGTCTGGCCTGGGGTGTCCTAAAGCTTGTGTTGGCCTGCTAGTGGTCAGGGCTGAGGTTCAGCTGATCCCAGGGCATGGTCTGGTCTGCTGTGGACAGGCTGGTTTTACAGGCTGTCTGACTGGTTTTCTCACCTCCGGTGTTTGTCCCCTCGTGGTTAAGGCTGACTCAGAACCCAGAGTAGGCTTCTTGGAGAGCAAGATCACTGGTAGGTGAAATTGGGTCCTGGGGCCCTCCTGTGGGCAAAGCCAACCATGGCCATAGGCTACTGTGGGCTCAGAAGAACTTTATGCAGCCTATTGCCCGTCTTCTTGTGGGCGGGGCTAGCTGGCCCCACCCAGCAAGGGGCATGACCTGAAGCCTGCCATTACTGGCATCTACTTTCTGTGGAGCAGGGCCAGGTCTTGGTGCCAAAGAGCTAGAGGGAAGATTCCAGGATGACTTCGTCCTACACCAGCATTTACCCGCTAAAAGAAGCTCCCAGTGTGGAAGCCAGTGGCTTCCACCAGTGTCCATGTCTCCAAGGAGAGAGGCAGGCCCTCCCAGACTCTACAGGAGATGCTCCAAGACCAGAAGGTGGGTCTGGCCCAGGCTCCTATCAAATTTCTGCTTTTCCTCTGGGTCCTGAAGTGTGCGAGATTGTGTGTGTGCCCTTTAAGAGTGACGGCTCTATTTCCCCAGTCCTGTGAGACTCCTAAAATTAAACCCCGCTGAACTTGAGAGCCAAATATTCTGTGTGCCCATCCTCCAGGTGCAGGATCCCTGGGCTGAGGGCCCTGAGGAGCCTGAGGGACTCTCAGTTCTGTGGGAGAACCTCTACAGTATAATTACTCTCCAGTTTGTGAATCACCCGCACGGGGCAAACAGGACTTGACTAAACTGTGAGTTCACCCCTCTTACCCATCTCTTTATGGTTCTTTCTTTATATCCTTAGTTATAGAAGATGTTTTCTGGTAGGTTTCAGTCTTTTTCATTTATGGTTGTTCAGCAGGTAGCTGTGATTTTGATGTGCCTGTGAGTGGTGGTGACCTCAAGGTGTTCCTACTCTGCCATCTTAACCCATCTCTCTTTTATATGTTAAATTTATGCAGCATTTTTATGATGTTCAATAATGAAATGTTATAGATTTAGGATTAAGAACAAGAAAAGGTGCTCACTCCTTGGTACCCTTCAACCTAGCAGAGCTCTAGGTTTTGTCAGTGATACAAGAAAATTAAAGGAAATAAAAGTTGATTCTGTTGGTGTTTCTTTTTATATTTTTTTCTGATATTAAATGTGTGTGTGCATGTGTGTACACAGTCTTCCCAGATTGTTTTTACATCTGCTAATGATATGACAGAGGATGAAATGGTTGGATGGAGTCACCGACTCAAAGGACATGAGTTTGAGCAAGCTCTGGGGGTTGTTGGTGGATGGACAGGGAAGCCTGGCATGCTGCAGCCCATGGGGTCACAGAGTCAGACCTGACCGAACGACTGAACTAAATAATGTGCCAGGCATGGGGATCTTAGTCATTAATAGAATTATTACTGTTTGTTCCTAATGTCCTAACATTTCCAAAGGTGCTAAATTCCCTCTCCTTTCTAATTCATTCTGCTCAGTACATATCACTGCTTTTAGCTTAACATGCTTTTGCTCAAAGACATTAAACTTCTGCCCTCTATTGCTCACCAAATACAAAAAAATTATCTTACATTTCAATTCTTCTGTCATACATACTTATGACTTTCTTTTCTTCCCTATCTTTGTTTTGGTTGATTCATATTTCTTTCGTAGCTATTTGTCTGATTATAGCCCTTTTGTTGATTCTAATCCTATCTTAATTCTAATCTCTTATTCACACTGTTTCCACTTTAGGGATAACCTTGTTTTTCTTTCTTCCTTCCATCAAGTCTAAGTAATCTCCTCACCCCTCACTGCCAATCTGAGCAGTTATAGCAATCACTGGCACTTATCTTCCTTGTATTAGTACTTTGTAAGGCCAGTATATCTTTTATTACTTTAGGATGTAGATGTGTTTAGTGAGAGTTTCTTGATTGATTATTATGGCAGAGGAATAAATGAATAATCAGTTCCCAGTCAGAATTTTCTCTGAAAATTTTATAATAAATTTTTTTATTTTACAGTTTGCAAGTTGAAAAAAGACCGGTGGAAGATTTCTTCTATATTTGTCCTAGTTCTTACAGTGGTCATTGTACCAGGTAGGTGACTCGTGAATTTTCCTTGGTTCTTTATGCAGCAGGCTATGCATTTATACCTCAAGTGTAGCCCCAAATCTCTCAACTCTGCAGTAATAAAAGGACTGTAGAGACTTGACCTCAGGTTCCTACTAGCTTCGCAGCTTTTGCCACCTTCCTTGGGGCTTTCCGGTAGTTCAGCTGTAAAGAATCTGCCTACAATGTGGGAGACGCAGGTTTGATCCCTGGGTGGGGAAGATCCCTTGGAGGAAGACATGGCAGCCCACTCCAGTATTCTTGCCGAGAAAATCCTATGAACAGAGAAAGCTGACTATGTATAGTTCTTTGGGGTCACAAAGAGTCAGACATGACTGAGGCGACCGAACACGCATGTACCACCTTCCTCGCCTCTCTTAAAAATACTCTCAGAACTTAGTCATCTTCTTGATTTTGTAAGAGTTCTTGATCTTTGAATAAAATAATCATAAGTTCTCAGATAACTGTCAGACAGCAACAGCAATAACTGTTTGAGAGTATTTTGTGTGAACTAAAGAGCTAATGTTAAATATACTACATTTATTATTATTTTTTTATATTTAATTCACACAAGACTATGAAATAGTTATGAAATCCATTCACACCCAAAGAAATAGCAACCAGAGTGAATTAGTTGCTTTTTACAAATAATAAGTTCCAGGGCCAACCAGAATTGAGATTCTTTTCTGTTGGATAAATTCCAGTTCTCTAGTTTCTGATATTTTAACTACCATACAACACTGTCACCATAATTGCAGTCTTTCTTTCATTTCTTTTGGATCAAAAGTGAGTTATATTACTAATAGTTGCTCTATGAAATACTTGCTTATTTCTATTATGTTAAAAGCGATAAAAGGAAAACATGGAACTAGGTATTTACTTCAGGATTTTCTCTGTTGGAGTAAATTTTCAAAGATAAAGATGTTTAAATTTTTTTCTGGATATTGTCAGTCTATTTTGTGAAAAATATCCAAAGGTAGATTTTAATTTCTGACTTGTGGCCTAATAGTCTCCAGAACTTGATTTTCCATCTGCAAGTTTTGCTAAATTTAGCTCTGAAATTAAATTAACACAACATTCTTGAGTCTCATTTTCTTTCTTTCTTTTTGTCATTCACAAAAGTACTGATATTATTCCTGCTTATAGCCTCTTCTGTCATTATAAAGTTCTGAGAGTGCAATACTAATTCTATTTAAACATCTGAAAATTAAATATTTAGAGGGAAGAGTTTCTCTAAGACATATTTACGTTCATTTATTCACTACAAAGGTAAAATTGAAACGATGCATTTTATTACCTGTTTGTGGTAGTCTGGATCCAATTCTGAGTATTACAGAAGAGAAAAAGTCAGGAGTTTGGAGTTGGCTCTACATTTAAATGTTTACTTGACACTGTACCCATTAATTAGCTTTAAACATTTGGAGGGCCAGGACTTTAACTAACCTAATTACTCAGCACCTCACTAAAATCTGGAAACAGTAAACTCTCAAAACAACATACAGAGAAATAAAGTCATCATTATTCCAGCTTCTTTGGCACTAAATATTGGTGACATAGAACCAATATTTGATTAATTCAGATTTCAATGATTCATTGTCCTTTATGGTGAATTTCACTTCCTTAGCTCATATGTCCTCTCTGCTGCTAACCTTTCATTTCTTTGAGGTAAAAGTAAGCCTTTATTTCTTACATTGGTTCTTAACACTATTTATATTTATGTCTCTTCCTTGGTTGCTAAATCTACTGCATAATTTTTGGTATGATGCCAATATAGACCATGAGAGATTTGCCGTTTCGCTTCTCAAAATATAAGCCAGGAAAATAGAATAAAGTCTAGACTTCTCAACCACTAAATGGTCTTTCTTATGGACAACAGAGGAATTGAATTCATCCATCATTCCGTGAGTGAAGTTAGTTGTCAGGTTTCAAACCATGGCAGTAAAAAATAAAATTGATACACCAGAATAACTGCTTTTATTCATTTCCTTTTTTTTTTTCAGTATTATATTTGAGTTGTTCAGAAAGTACCAAAGCTATGGAATGTTCAGAGGAGTGGATTGGAGTAAGAAGGAAGTGCTTCTATTTTTCTAATGATACCAGAAATTGGACAGCCAGTAAAAGATTTTGCAGTTCACAGGGATCAGAACTTGCTCAGATTGATACCCCAGAGGAGATGGTAAGAAAAGGAAAAAGTTTTCAATTATTTCAAAGCTTAATTTTGTACAAACAGAGGATAAAAGTGATAAAAGCTAATACTCCATGATTATGTCAAAAAATTCCTCTACCCTTCTATGTTCTTCTGGCTGATCTAAGAATTAAACTGACATGAGACAGATTAACAGGAGAAAACCAAATTAATTATATACATATGAGGGCTTTATAAGAAAATGACTCCCAAGGACAAGTTAGGCAATTGGAAGAAAGGGGGAAAGGTTTGGAACATCAAAGTGAAAGAAAGAAATTCACATGAGATAGAAATATAAATTATTTATTTTTAATGAGCTTTTATTGGAGTATAATTGCTTTATAATGTTGTGTTAGTTTCTGCAGTACACGAAGTTGAATCAGCTATATGTATACATATATCCCCTCTTTTTAAAAAATTTTCTTCCCTTTTAGGTCACCACAGAGCACTGATTCTGAGGTTCACATAAGATATCTATTATATACATATTACCAAAAATGTGTATATGTCAATCCTGATTTTCCAATTCATCCCTCCTCTCCTCTTCCCACCTTGGTATCTATATGTTTGATCTCTATGTTGAAAGGCAAATGTTTGGTGGAGACGTTTGTTTATTTATGAGGAAAAGCTATGTTTGTGGTTCAGTAACAAGGAATCTGGAGTAGGCAATAGCAACCCACTCCAGCAATCTTGCCTGGAAAATCCCACGGACAGAGGAGCCTGGTAGGCTGCAGTCGATGGGGTTGCTAGGGGTTGGACATGACTGAGCAGCTTCACTTCCACTTTTCACTTTCATGCATTGGAGAAGGAAATGGCAACCCACTCCAGTGTTCTTGCCTGGAGAATCCCAGGGACAGAGGAGCCTGTTGGGCTGCCATCTATGGGGTCGCACAGAGTCAGACACGACTGATGTGACTTAGCAGCAGTAGCAGCAGCAAGGAATCAGTAGGAGAGACTGTGGAATGATGGCAGTCAATATATTTTATTAGAAGAAATCATATTCTCCCAGAAATTAGATTTCTGATTATAGGAGACAATGTGCAATAGAAATTACATTGTCTCTTCTAGTTTTATTGAGATATAATTGAATAAGTTTAAGACATAGAGCATAATGATTTGACTTACATACATCCATCATGAAATGATTATCACAATAAATTTAGTGAACATCCATCATCTCCTGTAGATACAAAATTGAAGAAATAGAAAGTAATTTTTTTTCTTGTGATGAGAACTCTGAGCATCTCTTAACAAATTCTATACATGAAATATAAGTAATTTGCATGTATCATGTTGTATGTGACATTCCTAGCATTTACTTGTATCTGGAAGTTTTTACCTATTGACCACCTTCACCCAGTCCCCCCTCCTCCCACCCCACCTCTAGGAACCACAAATCCCATCTCTTTTTCTATGAGTTTTTTTATTTGTCTTTGAACTTTAATTGACCTGTAACATATGTTAGTTCCTGTTACACAAAATAGTGATTTGATATTTCAATATTTTTCAAAATGACCACCAGGATAATTCTAGTTATGATATGTCACCATACAATATATATCACCAGATGATATCAAGTAGTTATAGTTATATTCCCCACTTTGTACATTTCATACCTATGACTCATTATTTTGCAACTGGAAGTTCAAAGCTCTTTCAACTATTTCTTTCCTCTCCCCACCCATCTCTCCACTGGAAACCACCTATTTGTTCTCTGTATCTGAGACTCTGTTTCTGTCTTCTTGTGTTTGATCATTTGTTTTATTTTTTAGATTCCACATATAAAAAATATAAGTGAAATCATACAGCAATGACATCATTATTCTGGTATCTGTTGTTGTTCAGTCACTAAGTTGTGTCTGACTTTTGCAACTCCATGGACTATAGCACACCAGCCTCCTCTGTCCTCCACTATCTCTCAGAGTTTGCTTGAATTCATGTCCATTGAGTGGATGATGTAATCTCAAAACCTCATCCTCTGCTGCCCCCTTTTCTTTTGCCTTCAAACTTTCCCAGCATCAGAGTCTTTTCCAATGAGTTAGCTCTTCTCATCAAGTGGCCAAAGTATTGGAGCTTCAGCTTCAGCAACAGTATCCACTGGTATCTATTCAAAGTAGTTTCTGAGTTTTCCTATTTTAACAGTACTTATACTTTCCTTTAAACACTCTCACCCCTATATAGTTTGGGAGAGAAGATCTGTGCACAGAATAAGATATAAGTGTTAGTTCTCTATCACCCTTAAGAAACATGATATGCCTGTTCCTATAAAAATGCTCAGCTCCTGAATTTGTCAACCAGACATAACATCCTGTCAGTTTAGAGTCTTTGTCCTTTACTCTGTGAGAAACATACTGGTGTTTTATGCAGTAGAATGTGTAGGAAAGGAAGTCAAATATGATTTTTTTCATCAGTTTCTCATTTGAGAGATAGAAGTTACCCTTAATGGTAATTCAAGACATATAGCTCAAAGAGGTTTGATGACTTGTTAGAAGTCACTCTACTACTTAGATATATTTAAGAAGTAAGAGCAAAGTGAAAATTATTCTGATAAAACTAACCTGAACATCACCATCTGTGTTGTTTGTTGCTATGGAAGCATTAGGGCACACAAATTAGGATGTAAATCATAAAGATGGGATGTTCCAGTGAGAAGTATGTCAGCTATATGGTCTAAAATATTGAGTAATGAAGAATTCTCTGATTTGTGTGAAAGAAATTTTTGAAGAAGCATGCAGGAACTTCTTTGTACTGGATTGGATTAAGCAGAAAACTAGGAGAGTCTTGGAAATGGACAAATGGCACTACATTCAATGCTGGGTGAGTTTCAAATTTACTAGGAAAGGTTCTGTTCTGTGTTGTATAAAAACTTTAAATCAGTTTGAGTTGCATTATTGTAAATAAGTCTCCCTGTTTTCTATGTGTAATTGTCTTTCTCAGTTTCTACCCTGTGACATGTATCTTCTCAGATTGAAACATATCCTAGAACAACCCACCTTCCTTCTATTTTGTTATATGGCATGCAATGAAATTTTCCATTTTTATTTTTGTTCCTTATTTCATTTTATTTTTATTGTCAGGTTCTTGCTAATAAACCCTCCTATTGCTAACTCAAATTCAACTATTCTGCAAATTCAAAGCATGTTTATTACTTGTACTTTTAAAATTTTTGTAAGATCTCTTTTTTTTCTTTAAAGTGTTAGAGACAATATGGAAATAACCATATTTCCAAGTTAAAAGTCTTTAACTTTACAAGATTTCTGGGAGGAATAACAACAACCTCAGATAGGTGGATGATACCACTTTAATGGCAGAAAGCAAAGAAGAACTAAAGAACCTTCTTGAGGGTGAAGAAGGAGAGTGAAAAATCTGGCTTAAAACTCAGTATTTAAAAAAAAAGCTAAGATCATGACATCTGGTCCCATCACTTCATGGCAAATAGAAGGGGAAAAGGTGGGAGCAGTGACAGATTTCCTCTTCTTGGGCTCTAAAATCACAGTGGATGGTGACTGCAGCCATGAAATTAGAAGACGATTACCTTGGCAGGAAAACTATGACAAATCTAGACAGTATGTTAAAAAGAGAAGACATCACTTTGCTGACAAAGATCTGTATAGTAAAGGCTATGATCTTTCTAGTAGACATGTATGGACATGAGAACTGGACCATAAAGAAGGCAGAGCATGGAATTGATGCTTTCGAACTGTGGTGCTGGAGAAAACTCTTGAGAGTCCCTTGGACAACAAGGATATCAAACCAGTCAGTCTTAAAGGAAATCAACCATAAATACGCATTGGAAAGACTGATGCTGGAGCTGAAGCTCCAGTAGTTTGGCCACCTGATATGAACAGCCAACTCATTGCAAATAATTTTTATCAACTTGCTCTGTTGATGATCAATCTTTTTCTTTTTATGCAATGAGTATAATCTCTCTTGTCTTCCCATATTTCTAAATTGGTTCCCATTTTTCCATCTAGCAATTAATAATATTAAGGCAAGAAGACATGGATACAAAGTCAGGAAACAACATTCCCTCAAGAAATAGTTATATAAATAAATAATATTGCTTTTGTTGTTGTCGCTCAGTTGCCAAGTCATGTCTGACTCTTCTCGACCCCATGGACTGAGCCACGCCAGGCTTCCCTGTCCCTCACCATCTCCTGGAGTTTGCCCAAGCTCATGTCCATTGAATTGTTGATGCAAATTGATAAAAATTATTATAATTAGCCTCCTTGGTTTCCATATCAATATATTTCAAAAGTGCCAAATGAATATAAATCTTGTTTCTTACTTTCAAAACTAAACATTGGCTAAAAATATACCAGGTGATATGCTAGGGAACTGCTTTAAAAAAATTCCATATTTCACTCGACTTAGAAACACTTTCTCTCTCTTGAAAGAAATATATATAGTTAGATAAATGGAGATAGATATAAGCTCTTATTTATATCTATTATTTCTCTTTGTCTATTTATATCTCTTTCTACCTGTTGCCCTAAATAAGTTGACAGATTATGCTAATAATAGTAATATTAAATACCTACATTGCTTTAAAAAAACAGATATTTGGGGGGTAGAGTATTGTGATAGGTGAGTATGAAGCTCAGTGTTTTGTATAAAATGTTTCAAATTGCTCTATTCTTAAGTTTATTTTTGATTAAAACTGAAAGTGGTCCCAAACTGATTTTTATTGTTTCTTTTCAGGTTTGAAATCAGTGGGAATGGACCCTTTGCCTTTTTGAATTCTGATGGAGTCCACAGTTCCAGAGGATTTGTTGATATCAAGTGGATTTGCAGCAAACCAATATCTAAAACAGAATAAATTAGGGAATCAATAAAGAATTTTGCAAGTTTTTTTTTAAATTGAAGTATAGTTGATTTACAAATGTTAGTTTCTGGCATACAGTAGAATTTTGCAAGAATTAAAGGAACTAAAATTGTTGAATGAATGATTATATATAGAATCTTATTAATTCAAGGCACATTATTGCTCTTCATGAGCACAAGTCAGGAAACTTCTGTTAAATAGGACCAAACAAAGTTATAGTATACAATGAGATGACATTTATTGCATTAGTAGTTACGATAAACAAATTTTTTTTTTTTGAGAATTTTTTTTTCTTTTTTTTTTTTTCATTTATTTTTATTAGTTGGAGGCTAATTACTTTACATCATTACAGTAATTTTTGTCATACATTGAAAATGATAAACAAATTTAAGGGGATTTATATTAATAGGTCAGTCAAGACCTACTGCTTAGTAGGTCTGCTTAAAAGTTAGAGAAATATATGTGCTTAATATGTGTAAATATTACAAGCCACTAACCATAGCAACTTTGGTTTAAAGAAATGTTACAAGAGAATCACCTATGAACAAACATGTACTTAAATAATATCTTACAAATAAGGGAAAAATATTTAGGAAGGCCCCTAACACTAAAAGTAATAAACACAGATACATTATCAAAGTTCTATATTAAAATCACAAAGCTTAGATTATAGAATATAAACTAGAAAAATAACATTAAAAGTGAACAGAGAATAGATTATTGAAAAATACTTCCCTTTTCCAAGTAAGAACCAGGAAATAGGATGGGCTTAAGATGCAACCCTGGATGTGTCATAAAATTCAAACTCTGTAGGGTGTGGGGAAAATTATATCAAGCCCTTCTGTGTTACATTAGTTTGCCTAGGCAACTGTAACCTCTCAGTACAAGAAGGAATGAGAGTTTAGGAGAATACATAGACACGTAGGATGGAGAAGCTGGAGAAAAAAAAAAAGTATCTAGGTTACAGGATAAACATACAGAAACACGCAGACCAGTCTTTCTCCCATATCTTTAATGGAGGCTCACTCCTAAATTAGTTGCAGATGAAACTTTCTGATAAATGAAAAGGAGATTCTTGTGAGTCCCACCTGTAAATGTTGTTCTTGGTACTATATGTGAATGCAAATACTTGGCAAATATCAGCATATAAGCAAGCACAGGCATATTATATCTATTCATCATTTGTCATCAAGAAACTTGAAAATATGAAATTTAGTATTACTTATGTATTACATTTTGGCTCAGATTAAGTTCAAATTTTGCTTCATTCATAATGTGTTTTATTTTTGCTGTTGGTTCATGATTACAAATTAATTTCAACTGCTTCATTATTTAAAGTAATTCACTCCTTGTTTTTCTTTAAGTCACACCTATCAGGGTGAATCAACTCCTGATGACTCATCATGAACTACAGAGAACTTTTTGACGATATTATGTCGTATCTCCTCACTTACTTAGGGGACACAAACCGTTGAATTTATTTTGAAATATGAGTGCCTTTTGGATAAATGAGAGAAAAAAATAAGGTACTTTGTATAAAATTTCAGTTAGAAAACTAAGGGAGTGAGACAATTCTCAATATAACAATGTTTAAAAGCAAATTTGGTTAAAGGGAAATGAATTGTAGAATCAGATTAAATACAAGATTGTATATTACTTTAAAAAGACATTCATAATTACAGTGCCTGAGTACTTTATTACCAATTGAAAGTTTGATTTCTTTTTGATAAAAACTGGAAGTAATTAAGGACAAAGCCCACCATGAAGAAAAAAAATGTTGTATAACCATATATATGCACAGTCTATTATTTCACCAAATGCACAGGAAGAGTTAGAACCCAAGGAATAGAGAAAAAGCAGGATTAGAAGATTAAATTTCATATTTTTTAGACACTGCAGCAACAAAAGTAAATAAGAATGCCAAACACTGAAGTCAGAAATCAACATTCTTTCCCAACCAAAACACATTTTGTTTTGTGTTAGGAAATTGTCAAACATATTTAAAAGTAGAGAAAATAATATAGTGAGTCGCATGTACTCATTATTCAGTTTTAACAGCTATTAACTCATTGTCAATCTTGTAACCAGTCAATCTTAAAGGAAATCAACCCTGAATACTCATTGGAAGAACTGATGCTGAAGCTGAAGCTCCAATACTTTGGTCACGTGATGCAAACAACTGACTCATTGAAAAAGACCCTGATTCCAGGAGAGATTGAAGGCAAAAGTAGAAGAGCATGTCAGAGGATGTGATGGCTGGATGGCATCACTGATGCAATGGGCATGAACTTGGGGAAACTCCAGGGGATGGTGAGGGACAGGGAGGCCTGTCATGCTACTGTCCACGGGGTCAGGAAGAGTCAGACACGACTGGGTGACTGAACAACAACAATCTTGTATCATTTATAATTTAAGCAAATTCTAGACATAATATCATGTGAATGTTTCCCTATCTGTCTATACAACATAACCACAATACAATTATCACATCTAAAAGTAATTAATAATAATCTCCAATAACATTATAAAAAATAGGGAATTATGTTTTCTAGTTTAAAAATAAGTTATTACATTTTCTAATTTTGGAGTGTTGTATCTGTACAGAATACGTGAAAATTTTTTATTTGTATTAAGAAATAGGTTTGCATTCCAAAAACAGATAGGAACTGTTAACATCCATATATTTCTCTTCCAATTATGTAAATGCAGAGATTTGCTTTCGTTGTTCAGATANACTTCATCTTTATTTTACTTTGGCCCTGATTTCCTTGGAAAGTTTCTCTTACTGTGCTACATTATATTTTTTAAGCTGTCTCAAATCCTTTTGCAGAAAGGTAAATCATATGTTAGTGAATGTATCAGTGATCTTGAGCTACCTGCTTTACTTCATTTTGCACCATCCTTTTAAACCAGTGCCTGTCATCCCAGGTTCTGACCATGAGTTTCCTGTCCCTTTTTATGTCCCATCTACCTCAGTCTCAATGCTCAGCACCTTTTTTCCAGCTCTGATCTTTTTTGTTTTCCTCCTCAATTGTGATTCGAGGTTTCCTCTGCCTGCCCTGGAAACACCTTGACTCATTCTGAGCATCTTCACTGGGTCTTCTGTGCTATCACCCTAAGTCTCTATGGCAGTGAGAGGACTAGACACAGACATCAAGTCTTGAGTTTCCAATATAATCCCTTTGAAAATTCCAGTCTTCTGGGACAATACAAGGTTGAGAGAGCAGTTAAAGTGTGGAGCTTAGGACAAGAAGACTGGGTGGATATCAAAAATGTCATCTATTTTCCTGTTTTGCCCTGAGCTACACTGTTGTCATAAGAAGTAGAGATGGGGCAGGACTGACATTCAACGGACTAGGGCAGTAGTTCCCAATCTCCACTGCCTTATTTATGCAGGACAGAGTTCTCACAGCTCTGAGAAGACACAAACAGATGGAACAATATACCATGTTCATGGATTGTAGGAATCAATATTGTCAAAATAACTATACTACCCAAGGCAATCTACAGATTCATTGCAGTCCTTATCAAGTTACCAATGGCATTTTTCACAGAATTAGACCAAAAAGATCTCAGAATTTGTATGGAGACACAAAAGACTCTGAATAGCCAAAGCAATCTTGAGATAGAAAAATGGAGCTGGAGGAATCAGGCTCCCTGACTTTGAATTATACTACATAGCTACAAATATCAAAACAGCATGATACTTGTACAAAAAATAGAAATATAGATCAATGGAACAGGATAGAAAGCCCAGAAATAAGCTCATGTACTTATCGTCAATTAATATATGACAAAGAAGGCAAAACTACACAGTGTTGGAAAGACAGTCTCTTCAACAAATGATGCTGGGACAGCTAGACGGCTATATATAAAAAAATGAAACTAGATCATTATTTAGCATCATACACAAAAATAAGCTCAAAAAGGATTAAAGACCTAAATGTGGGACCAGACACTATAAGAGAAAAACAGAAACCCTCTGACATAAATGACAGTTTTATCTTTTTTGATCTGTCTTCCAGAATAATGGAAATAAAAACAAAAGTAAACAAATGGGACCTAATTAAACTAAAAATCTTTTGCACAGCAAGGGAAATAATAAACATAAAGACGACCCACAGATTGGGAGAAAATATTTGCAAATAATGTGACCAACAAGGGATTAGTCTCGAGAATTTACAAACAGCTCATGATGCAAACACCAAAACAAACAACCCAATCAACAAATAGGCAGAAGACCTAAATAGACATTTTTCCAAAGAAGACATAGATGGTCAAGAGACACATGAGAAGATGTTTGCAAATAAAACTACAATTAGGTATCCCCTCACATCAGCCAGAATGGCTATCATCAAAAAAATCCACAAACAGCAAATGCTGGAGAGGGTATGGAGAGAAGGGAAGCCTGCCCCTACACTGTTTGTGGGAATGTAAATTGGTACCACCACTATGGAGAACAGTAAGGAGGTTCCTTAAAAGACTAAAAATAGAGCTACCATATGACCCTGCAATCCTATTCTTGGGCATATATCCAGAGAAAAACATGATCTGAAAGAATACATGCACCCTAGTGGTCATTGCAGCACTGTTTACAATAGCCAAGACATGGGAGCACCCTAAATGTCCATTGACAGGAGTTTATAAAGAAGATGTAGTACATACATACAATGGAATATTACTCAGTCATTGAAAAGAATGAAACAATGCCATTTGCAGCAACATGGGTGGACCTAGAGATTATCATACTGAGTAAAGTCAGTCAGAGAAGGAGAAATATTGTATGACATCCCTTATATGTGTAATCTAAAGTTATATAAATGAATGTACTTACAAAATGAACAGAGACTCTCCGACTTAGAGAACGAACTTTTGGTTGCCCGAGGGATGGATGAGGGGAAGGGATAGTTAGAGAGTTTGGTATGGACTTGTACACACTGCTTTGTTTAAAATGAAAACCAACAAGGACCTACTGTATAGCACATAGAACTCTGCTCAATGTTATGTAGCAGCCTGGATCGGAGGGAGAATGGATGAATGTATACCTATGGCTGAGTTCCCTATGCTGTTTACCCGAAACTGTTACAACATTGTTACTCAACTATACCCCAGTACAAAATA